GCACCAGAAATACATACCCAGGGACCAGTACTGCTTGATAGCACTGCTTTTAGTCAAAAAGCTCAACTCCATTACAAGCTAGAGGCAAAAAGATGACAGCGCCAGAAAACCCAAAGGAGCCTACTGTGCCCTATCAAGGGGGAAAGGGGGCAGAGGAAAGAGTCCAGTAAATGAGGAACTATCTACAGGTACAGTTTAGCATACAGAAAGCTCACACAGTACTTACAGATTCACCAGAACCTCCTGCTTCAGACAACTCGATAATTGGCTCCTTAGGCATGACTAGGAAAAGCGTCCCGTCTAGGGGCAAAAGATCATGGAACGTACGGCACTGGAGGAAGATTAAACAGTTAAAACATAACCGGCTTTAGAGAAAGGTAAGAGCTTATGCAAACCCATCTGCCCCGCTGAACTCCTACAGAAGCAGATTACCAGATACCCAAACACCAGCCAGAACATTGATTTTTCTTGCATTATTATAATGCTTTCTATACCCAAAACACGACATCTTCACAGAGCCCCCTCCAGAAGTGGGATTCGTCATGCAAGACAATGGGCTAAGGAGACAGGCCACTACTTGCAATTAACAACCTCCGGTATGTTTTAGTTCGGGCTGATTGTTTCCTAAGCAGTTTTTCTACTGGATGTGGGCCATGCAGAGACTGGAGACAAATGGCTTAACTGAATCATCAAAGAGTTTAGTGAAGTGGAAGAGCAGCGGCCATTCATTTCCCACAGGACAGGGAGCTCAAGTATCGAACACACGCATAATGACAGGCAGCCTGCAAGTGCATAGGATGAGTCTGTCTTCTATACTGCATGCAAGCTCTGCCTTTAAAAGCAAAAGGCATCCCTGTTAACTGAACGTTAGCATTTTAATAACCAAGTCATATGGGATATTACCTTAAAGTTAACATCGCATAGGCAACGGCTGTACTGGTTTCCCCCTGGGCTAAGCAGCTCACTCTAGTTTCCAGCACCAACACTAGTGACCCTTGCAAGAATGCTGTTATCACGGTCTTACTTCCCCACAGAAACAAGTTCTGGAAAGCCTTTGCAGCCTGCAGGATGACCACTTTGTAATTTTTTATTTTATTTTATTTTTTTAACTAGAGAAAGCCGTAATTCCTTGCCCTAATAATCCAGCTTGTGGGTTCAGAATCACAGCCCAGCAGAGTGAAGCTGCGAAACCTCTTCGATGCTGTTAGGAGACACATTGAGGCCAAGTTACCGTCAGAGGCCCTTCTCTACGCGCGCACACGACACGGTGGGGGTGGAATGCGAGGCGAGTCCGGACAACACCAGCAACCCAGTAGGCCCGCGGCAGCCGGAGGGGTGGGGGTGCGGCTCAGAACAAGTTTAGGGGATGGTGCAGTAGAGAGCGCCACAACCCAGAGAGGCCCCGTCCGTCCCCCGTCCCTGCACCCACCCGCAGCAGCAGCACCCTGCCGCGCGCCCGGGCACCGCACACCGGTCCTCGGCTCAGATGCCTGCAAGCGCGGGAGGAGGGGGTAGGGGGAGGAGGGGGAAGGGAAGAGGAACCACGCACAGAGCAAGGGTGCGGCTACCTCCTCGTCCTCGTCGCTAACGACACCAGAGAAACGCCTTGCCGATAATCTTTCCGAAGACAGTAGTGGCACCACCAGGGCCACAGGCCGGCACGCCGACACTCTCGCCAGCCAAGGACAACGCCCGTGGCCGCCCCGACACTTCCTCCACTAAGCCGAGCCCTCCGCGGCGCCCATTGGGCCGACGGATCGTGGCCCGCGTCTCCATTTGCTGTCTCGCCTGCCATTTTCGCTTTCCCCCGCCCCCTTGGCGAGTCCGCCCTCGTCGACTTGGCGCCCGCGGGGCGCGGAGGGATCTGTCCCGTGTAGTGCTGCGACCCTGAGGGCGGGCTACGAGGTCGCAGAAGACGCTGTAGTAGCTACAAGTACTGTTGCTTGTTATTTGTTACCACATCGAGTCCACCCCAAAGGTGCCTGTCCCTTTTTGGTGCTGCTCCCTCCAGTCAAATGACTGCTTTGGCCAGGGCAGGCCTGGCTTTAACTTCTCGGGACATTTTGAAAAAACAACAGAAGTTGCTCTACATTGTTTGCTGAAAGCCCCACTTCCATTGCAGACATTTCTAAGCTGCACGTCTCCTGGAAGCAAATAAAATGCAAAGCGTGCGTTCCGCACTGCTGGCTTGAGGGCTCAGGAGAGTAGGATTTGCGTTAAGCTGGATAGGAGGCTTCTAAAAAAATAGGCAGTGCCCCCAGAGCTGCCCAAGGGTGCTCTTTGGTGCCCTGCACCCCCGGGGACAGTGACCACCTTGAATGATCCGCTCAACTGTCTTGTATCATATATACATATATGAACCCTGCTTTCCTCTATATCGGGCTAAGGATATCCTTGGCCGCCTTTCAGGCAAGGACACACTGTCCTATTTTGCAAAGCTGCTTTCCAGCCAAACGGCCTCCAGCATGTACTGGTGCATGGGGTTGCGCCTCCCCAGAGGTGCAGGACTTGTGTATCCACAGGTTCCTCAGGTGGTCTCAAAAGAGATCGTTTCCTATGATGGAAGGGATTTTGTTCCCCAAGTCCCTGCCTTGAGGTTCAGGGTCTCAAGAGGTGTGGTAACTGTGCCTGTGAAAACAGAGAAAAATGAATCACCGAGTACCACAGCCTTCTCCATGTTGCTGGCCACTAGACTTCCTGGCTTATTTATCAGCAGCGGGGGGCGGGGGGGAGGGAGGGGGCACGTGGGTTGCGTACGCTTTCTTTAGTCTTATTTTCTGACCAATGCACCCGTGGAAGCCCATTGTCCGATTCTTTACATCCCCTGCCATAGTCAGCTGCAGCTTTGCCTGAGCTTTTCTGATCCCATCCCTACAGACCTGGGCGGCATCTTTAGATTCTTCCCAGAATGTGTGTCCCTGCTTCCAGTTTATAGCCACTGATTGCACAGCTCCAGTCATTTGAGTTGTCCCAGCACATTTCTACCATAGTGATTACATTGTTAGCTTTCCGGCTGCACAGTGGTTTCCAGCTCCTCTCTCTTATGCATGCTGCATGAATTGGTACAGAGGCACTTCCGTTGGGCTGTCGACTGCGTCACTTTTTTGGACAAGGATCAAGCCCCAATTCCTTTGCAGCATTTCTCAAGTATTCCCCTCTTGGTTCCCAACACATCACCAGCCCCTGGCTCTTCTCTGTTGCTCAGAACTCCATCGTCTTTCCCTGCTGAGTCTCGTTTAAAGCCCTCCTTGTAAGTCTAACCGGCTTACCGGCGAAGACGATCTCGCCCCGCTTGGTCGCATGAATCCCATCAGCTCCCAACAGACCCGGCTTCTTAAAGGTACATCCATGATCATAGAAGCCAAAACCTTGAGTATGGCACCAGCTACGCAGCCCGGCATTCAGCTGTTCAGTCCGTCTCCTCCTTCCTGGACCCCTTCCTCAGACTGGACACCACCAGAGCCGACCATCACCTGTGCTCCCCATCCTTTTTGCATCGCTCCTACAGACATAATAGACTCCTGAGAGGGCTCTAAATTGCCTTATCTGAAACTACAGAGAAGAGTAGGAGCAGGCAATAACCTGTAGGGTTCACCAGCCTCAGCAGCCTCTCAGTGACACCGTGAATGCGAGCTCCTGGTAGGCAGCAGCGCTCTCTAGAGAAATCGTCTGGGTGGGAAATGGGTGTCTCAGTGTTTCTCAGGAGGAAATCTCCAATTACTAATACCTTTATGTGCTTCTCTGGTCGCACTGGTTCTAACGTGGGCAGGTGGTTAGGTCAGCTCTGCATGGTTGGCTTTGTCCTGGGTCCCGTCCATTACTCATGTGCTCTTCAGTCTCCAAACCAGGAGCATCCTGTCTGTTATGTAGGGGCACTTCAGGAGATGGGGGAGGGTTCTTCCTTCTACCCTGAGCACAGAAGTGCATCCGGTCTCCTTCATCTCAGGAGTTACTTGTGTCAGTCACCCCGAGGTTACATTCTGGCTTACCTCTCTTTTGTGCACTCTGAAGGCAGGACGTCGGTTAGCCTGGGACAGCGTACAATACCTGGCATTGAACTCCTGTCCGTGTACCTGGATTCCTGTCAATCTCCTCTTTTAAAACTTACGCGTCCAAGGAGATCTTTCTGCTGGGCACACTTTGCAGCTGTGACATCCACCGCTGCCTTCAGGTTCTAAGGGGGACTCTCAGGTACTGGAGCTCTTGCCCTGCCCTTTGTTCATTGACCCTGTCCATCACTCCCGCACAGGGCTGCTGATTATTCTCTCCCTCCTCACGCCCTCACTGTGGCAGCAGCTCTCTGGCCACAGAGAGCAACACATAACTTTCCCAGGCTTTTCTGAGGAAGGCTGTGAGAAGGTCAGAGAAAAGAATGAGAAACAATTCTTATCTTCACTTGCTGCACCTCTTATTGTGAACATGTGGAATGTGTTATGGAGATTTGTTTGCCAAAGGGTGGTTTCTTAATTAGCCAATGGCGATGGTGTTTGGATTGGAGGACCAATTAGGTCCAGGTGTATCCTCACTGTCTATAAAAGCAATGGGTTTCTTAATAATGATATATTTATTTATTTTATATTAAAGAGATCGATCAGCCTTCTGTGAATCATGGAGTCAATGCCAATTACAACCAGTTTGGGGACGCCCAGCCGCGACAGCTCACTTTTAGTTTAAAGCCCTCCTAATGAGGTCAGCTATCCTACTGGCAAAAATATCTTTGCTCCGCTCAGTGAGGTGGAGCCCCGCTCTCCCAAGCACATGCTGATCCAAAAACAGGGTCCCATGCTCATAGAACCCAGAACACTGTTGCAAGCACCAGCTCTGCAGCCAATTATTTACCCGCATTATCAGCGCCCTTATCTTGCAACACCTGGATGGCATCAAAAGCATCGGTGGTGGGTTGACCTTGGCCAGATGCCAGGTGCCCACAGAGCCGCTCTATCACTCCCCCTTCTCAGCTTGACACAGAGAGAAAATAAGATGGAAAACAACTCACAGGGTGAGATAAGGCAGTTTACTAAAGGAAAAGAGAAGGTTTTTGCACGAAAAAGCAAACAGGAAAAACAAATAATTATATCCTCTAGTTCCCATCAGCAAGCACTGTCCGACCACTTTCTAAGAAGCAGGGCTCCAGCACGCGTAGGGGTTGCTCCGAAAGGCAAACGTTGTAAATAAGGAATGTGCCCCCTTCCCCCTCCTTAACTTAGCTTTTATTTCTGGGCTGATGTCATATGGTATGGAATAGCCCTCTGGCCAGTTTGGGTCAGCTGTCCTGGTTGTGTCTCCTCCCAGGACCTTGCCCACCCCCAGCCTACTGATGAGGGACAGAATGTTGGAGAGACAGCGCTGATGCTGTGCCAACACTGCCCAGCAGTAGCCAAAACGCTGGGGTGTGATCAACACCTTTCTAGCTACCAGTGCAAAGCTCGGTGTGGGAAAATGACCGGGGACCCTGTGGACCGGTAACTGGGGATTCAATTAGAGGAAACTTAGGGGTTATATTAGCATCCTCACAGGAGTTATAACAGTGCGGGAATTATAGGGTAAATCACAGTTGCTGCTCCCTGGGTGGAATGCAGTTGGCATGGTTTGAAACCTATTCCGTGATGATTCCCCATACACACACACACCTGCTAAGGGGGATGGAACGGAGGGTGGAGCAGAGCGAAGGCCAGGCTCTGCAGAAATCCTTGCAGGGAAGGGAACTCGACGGCACTTTGCAGCTGATAAACGGCATACCACCTGTCAACCAAGGGAGATAGGGGAAGATGTCTTACTGCTGAGGCAGCAACTGTGGTGAAATCACTCTCCTTAGGTGAACTTGCTTCATTAAAGCCTAATAATAATATTAACGTACACCTCCATCCCAAAGTTACCCACCTCCAAAGCGCAACCACCCCTCACTGGGCATGTGCTCTATATTCTTTTTGACTGTATCTTTAAAAGCAAAGCAAGAGAATTTTACACCAATCAGTAACAAAAGTATGCATGACTAGGGTCACTCAAGCTCCACCTAAACACACAGAAATACTATAAAAATAAGTCGAGAATGGGGAAAAGTTAGGGAAGACTCCATCATAGCTGCTGGGATCAGTTGATGGGCTCAACCTGTCTTCTCCCCCATAGAGATGCGTGTTGGATAAGAATCATACTCTATGCACGCTGAACATTTTATTGGGGATTAGAGCTTGTCTGTATATTCCTTCAGATATATTTTTGCAGTCAGACACTATCACCGACAATCTTCGAACCGTAACCCGTCACAATTTATATTAATAAAGAGTGCTATTCCGTAAACTGTTAGTGTGAATCCTTGGCGAACGCTACCAGTCGGCAGCAGCAGGTAACACAGTGGGTAAAGGGGAAGACCTGCTGAGGGGTCTCCCTTACACTGTTGGTGTGTTTCCCTAAGTCAGTCGAACCAGCCTCTGATCCAGTAGGACTGCTCAGTGAAGGATCCCCACAACGGGATGCTGACAGACTGGTCGGGCACAACGGTCTCAACCTTCCTGAAACACAGACAAATTAAACACTACAGACTGAGTAAATCCCCCCACACCAAGGGTCAAGGAAGCCTCCTCCCTTTTTCACGTGACACATGGCACTGTGAGAGCTGCTATGCGGAAATGAACTCCGTCTTAGCAACACCCAAACCAGCATCATTGGGGCCTGATTCTCAGCTGTCCTTTGCTGCTGAAGTTGTAGTTATAGAAGACGGATTGGTACCCGCCTGTTACGGTGAGCTCCTGGACACCCTTTTGTCCCCCCTTTCCTAGGGCCTCTGTGGATCTGATCATGATAACCCCTGAATCCTCCTTCCTCCCCAATGGGGTTGGCGGGGAGCCAGGAGTGCCCACCCTGTCCAAAACCTATATAGACCCCTGAAACTTCCTGCTCTTTCTCTTTTGCCCCGCTCTCCATGGACACCACAGAATAAAGAGAGCTGTTCCAACACCCTGGGGTAAGGAGCCTCTTCTGTATACCTTTCCCTCCCATGCTATTTCCTCCCCCCACAGCCCCATATCTCTGAGCTAGTTGGATTCATTCGGGGGGCTGCGTGGAGGGGGGGAAAACCAATAGAAATAACAGTTGGCGCCCCAACGTGTGCTGCTCTGAGCCCACGAAGAAGTTGGACCCCCTATTTCGGTGGGAGTCGAAAGCTCTTGGGACAGCCAACTGCCCTGGTACTCTATCTGCTTTTAAAAGCTTTGAGTCACGGGGCACAGTCGGGGACCTCTGCCTGAGTACCCAGGAAGGGCCGACTGGAGAGGGAACCCCCAGAGAGGGTTTCACAGACGAATCCCGCAGTCACAGGCTTGGTAAATTCTCCGACGCGGCACCCGGGACCGCGCCTGGCGGGGAGACATTACCATAAGGGACTGCGGGGGGCTGCTTGCGGGAGGGGGAGCCAGGACCCTACTGCGAGTAAGCGGGAACCGGTGGGCTGCGCATACCCACGTTCCACGGGGAACAGGCACGGGAGGAACGGGCTAAAGCCGCCCCGGCAGCGGCGGCACGAGCGCCCGTCCCCCTGTGCCCCCCCGCTCGGGTTTTCCAAGGAGGGAAATTCGAATCATTCGTGCTGTGTTATTAGCTCTGGTGGAGACTAGACCAGTGAAACAATTAAAAATCATGGGTACTAACATTTCACTGCAGCAGAAGAGTATACTAACACATCTTAGCAATAACTTAAACCATGTATCATTCCCTAAAAAGCTCCTCCTGCGTTTTGTGTGCTGGCTACAGACAGAAATACCAAATTTTACTGTGCAAGACCTGAATTCGCTTGCTTTTTGGAATCAGATTGGACAGATATTAACTTTAAAAGTCGAAAATGGTGAACATAAAGTTTCTCGATTTATTCCGATATTTTTACAAGCACGGAAAAATATTTTAGAAGCAGAAAAGAGCATGCAAACGCAGATCCACAGTTCTAACACTCTCTTTTCCCCTTCCTACCCACCCCCTCAATACCCCAGCCCTGAAAACCCCTCACCCACCCCTTATCTCCCTATAACACCTTGTTTTTCGGAGAGATACAGCCCGGAGTTTATCTTAAAGAGCTCCGCGGCATCTCTGGAACACACGCGGCCAGATCATGGCGGCGGCCATGTGGTTTCACAGGCGCTGGCCGCTCCAGCCCCCACTCCCCCTCCCACTCGCATTCCTTTGCCTCCCCTGCCCTCCGGCACCCCCTCCGCCCCCACCCCCTCCTCCCTCCCCTCCTCCGACGCCTGCTTATCTCCCATAGCAACTCCTTATCAGTCCCAGCCCCCGGGTTGCCCCGGGAACAGGGGCGGGGCCGGCCACTGCACTCCTCCCAGCCCCAGCACCGAGGACGGCAGGGCGGGGACACGGCACAGCAGCCCCGCGGCTCAGAGCAGGGCGGAGGCGGGGCACAGCAGCCCCGCAGCTCAGAGCCGGGGCGGGGACCGAGTCTGCACCGCGGAGCAGACAGCCCGAGGGGGGGGGCCGAGCTGCCCCTCACCGGGGTGGGGGAGGCGCGGGGGGACATAAGCCTGACTTTATCGAGGACCCTATACCATCGGTAGCTCCTGTGGTTTATTTAGGGAGAAGAAATGGTACAAGAACATACCAACCTCTTCCATACAGGGACAAACCAGAAATCTGTAAGGTTCAGAGAGAATTTGGGAGATCGAGTGAGATTTTTAAGGGTCTGATGAGGGCAACATTCCATTCAAATGAAATGGTGCCAAAAGATATAACTGATTTGTTTAAATGTTTACTAACATCCTCTGAATATGAGATATGGGAAAGTAAGTGGAAATTGGCTTTGGAAACAGTGTTGCAAGAAATACAGCGTACACCCAGTGATGCCACCGACATGGATGGCCAGCCCCTTACAATACACCATTTGTGTGGGACAGGAGACATACAATGTCCAGAAAAACAAACCAGACTGTTATCTAGATCAGTTTTAGAAAAAATCTGTACTGCTGCAGAAAAGACACTGTATCAATTACCAGGCTCTGAGGTTGAATGCAGTTATGTTAATATCAAACAGTTTCCTTCTGAGAGTTTTTTGCAGTTTGTGGATCGTTTGAGAAGCCAAGTCGAAAAACAGGTGCAACACACCAGTGTGCAAACAGAGTTGATTAAAGAAATGGCCCAGAGGAATGCCAACGAGACCTGTCGTAGGATTCTTCTCAGCCTTCCTCTTGATCCAGCACCTACTCTTGGCCAGATGATCGAGGCCTGCGCTAAGAAAGCAGAGCTGCTTGATACTCCTGTCAGTCATAGAGCACCAGCAGACTTACAGCCTGTTGCCACTGCTACATCAAACCCCAGGAAGCCACCCAGATCATCACAACAGCTGCAGCAAATCATCTGCCTGCGTTGCAAGAAACCAGGACACTTTGCCAGGAACTGTCCTCAGAACCAGAACCAGAGACAGATCAACAAACAAAAAAACTAGATGCACAGCGCGTGCCCACTGCTACGCGCAAAGATATAAATATAGTGGGACACAAATGTGATGATACCTCTCTCTTAACAAATAAGGGGGAGGGTGGATACTATGATGGGGGGAGAGAGAAAAATAAGAATGTAAAATGTATTACTAACAAGGTTTGGCAGCCACTGGGCCGGCCACGCTTAGTGACTGCCAAAGGATTTCATTTCAGAAACACTGATTGGAAAGTCATTGTGGTGGACCTATCAAAAAACCCTCAGGACCTGCAGGCGTACGATATGGAACTGGACAGTGAGTATTTTGTTATTGGGGACACAGCATACACACCTCCTGAGATCGAAATAGTTCCCAGTACTACTAAGGGAAAAATATCCAGCCTTATGCTGTTGGCACGTTGCTTGCACCCTCCATTCTATCTAGAAAAGGGGCAACTTCTGGCACAAGCCATTCCCATCCCAGTGGAAATCACAGTAGAAGGAAAATCTCCAGAAGTCTACTGGGCGGAAGTGGTAGGAGAGGACAAACCCTCCATGACATACAACCTAGCACATGGGTCAGAATACCTTCATGTGGAAGGTGTTCTGGACACAGGTGCAGACATCACGGTGATACCCAAAACCATGTGGCCATCACACTGGGAATTGCAACCTGTGGCAGGCAAACTTCAGGGTAGAGGAGGAACTACATTGGCAAAAATTTCTAAAAATGTAGTGCAAATTGAGGGACCTGACGGGAAATCAGCAAGTGTTCGCCCGTTTGTGGCAGACTATAAGGCTCCTCTGTGGGGGAGAGACACCATGTCCCAGTGGGGAGTCCAATTAATCATTCCTAAGACACCCCAGGATTTTCGGGAGTCGCCACTGTGGAGCGCCATGCCCACAAGTTAAAGTGGTTGGATAACACCCCAAAGTGGGTAGCACAGTGGCCTTTGAGTAGAGAAAAACTCGAGGCGCTTGAAAAACTTGTGGAGGAGCAGGTGGCTCAAGGACACCTGCAAGAAACAGACAGCCCTTGGAATTTCCCAGTCTTTGTAATAAAGAAGCCTGGGAAGGACAAATGGAGATTGCTCCATGATCTCAGAGAGATAAACAAGATTGTGGATGACATGGGACCTCTCCAACCGGGGATGCCGAGTCCAGCTATGCTTCCCCAGGACTGGAAATTGGCTGTGTTAGATATAAAGGACTGCTTCTTCCAAATTCCATTGCACCCTGAAGATGCCCCGAGGTTTGCATTCTCTGTTCCCACAGTCAATAGAGAAGCACTGATGAAATGCTACCACTGGAAAGTTTTGCCCCAAGGTCTAAAATCCAGCCCTTTCATATGCCAACAGTATGTAGCAGCACTACTGTCTCCAGTACGTGCAGAGAGAAAGGATGCCATCATCCTACACTATATGGATGACGTGCTTGTGTGTGCTCCCAATGACTCTATACTCCAATATACACTTGACCTAGTGGTTAAAGTTTTAACCTCTGCTGGATTCAAATTGCAGGAAGACAAAGTTCAAAGAATGCCACCTTGGAGATACCTGGGCCTGGAAATCTCTGCAAGGACTATTGTCCCACAGAAATTGGAGATAAATTGCAACCCCAGAACACTAGCAGACCTCCACTCGCTGTGTGGGTCTTTAAATTGGGTAAGGCCCTGGCTAGGCCTCACAAACGAGGACCTGGAACCTCTTTTCAATTTATTGAAGGGGGAGAGGGAGCTGACCTCCCCCAGGGAACTGACTCCAGAAGCAAAGACAGCAATCGAAAAGGTACAGAAGGCCTTGTCAGAAAGGCAGGCACATCGATGTGACCCAAATCTGCCTTTCCAGTTCATTGTTCTAGGAAAGCTCCCACACCTGCATGGGTTGATTTTCCAATGGATCAAGGGGCAGAAGGACCCACTCTTAATCATAGAATGGGTTTTCCTATCGTTCCAAAGATCCAAAACCATCACTAGGCCACAAGAGCTGATAGCAAAGCTGATTCAGAAGGCCAGGGTGAGGTTGTGTGAATTAGCAGGGCGTGACTTTGCATGTATTCACCTTCCAGTCAGGCTTTCTGAGGAGGGAAGGAACTCTCCTGAGAGGCTGACCAAAGGGATGTTTGAGCATTTGCTCCAGAGCAGTGCCAGTCTCCAGCTATCTCTGGACAGCTATAGGGGACAAATATCAGTCCATGCCCCGTCCCACAAGTTGTTCAATGAGGAATTCCACCTGATTCCTCAAGAGAAAAGGAGCCGGAGGGCACTCAGAGCTCTCACAGTGTTCACTGATGCCTCTGGGGCTTCCCACAAGTCGGTGATGACTTGGAGAAATCCACAGACTCAGCATTGGGAAGCTGATGTTGAGCTTGTGGAGGGATCCCCCCAGGTGGCTGAACTGGCTGCAGTGGTGAGAGCTTTTGAGAGGTTTTCCGAGCCGTTCAACTTGGTGACAGACTCTGCCTATGTGGCAGGTATAGTGTCCAGGGCGGAGCAGGCTGTGCTCAGAGAAATAGAAAATGAACATCTCTTCAGGTTACTCTCAAGGCTAATTTATTTAATCTCGCACCGAGAACATCCATTCTTTGTGATGCATGTGAGGTCACACACTGATTTGCCAGGTGAGATTGCAGAGGGGAACCAAAGAGCGGACTCCTTCGCTGCACCAGCTGAAAAGGCAAGTCTCCCTGATGTTTTCCAACAGGCAAAGCTGAGTCACGAGCATTACCACCAAAATGTACCAGGTTTGATTCGACAGTTCCAGCTAACAGGGAGTCAGGCCCGAGCCATTGTGACCAACTGTCCTAATTGCCAGCTCCAGGCGGTGCCATCCTTAGGCATGGGGGTAAACCCCAGAGGCCTTAGCAGCTGTGAGGTATGGCAGACAGACATCACACACATTCAGAGTTTTGGTCGCCTTGAATGCGTTCATGTAAGCGTGGACACATTCTCAGGTGCAGTGTATGCCTCTGCCCATATAGGACAAAAGGCTGCACATGTCAAACAACACCTAGTACAAGCATTTTCAGTATTGGGGGTGCCAAAAATGATCAAAACAGATAATGGCCCAGCATATGTATCCAAGGAGTTCCTGGAATTTCTCCAGCAGTGGGGAGTGGAACATAAGACTGGCATTGCCCACTCCCCCACAGGTCAAGCTGTAGTCGAGCGTGCACACCAGACGCTCAAGCAGGTATTGAAAAAACAAAACAGCTCAGCTCCGTGGATGTCTCCACGAGAGAAGCTCTGTAAAGCTATGTTTACTATCAATTTTCTGAATTGTTCATTCGAAAATATGAGTCCACCGGTTGTACGTCACTTTAACAGTGGCAAGCAGTTTAAATTGTCTCAGCATCCACCGGTCTTGATTAGGGATCCAGAAACCTGGGAAACCAAGGGTCCCTATGAACTTGTGACCTGGGGTCGTGGCTATGCGTGTGTAGCTACTCCCTCAGGCCCTCGGTGGATTCCCCAGAAGTGGGTGAAACCTTTTGTCCCCAAGAATCCAGGTCAAGCAGAAGGGGACAAGAAGCAAGTATCTGATGCTTCAAAGAGAAGACGCCGCCGGATGGGAGAAGAAGAAAGTTCCTAGGCAGGAATTCCTTCTGGCAGAAACAGAAGCTTTAACATGTTCTTAAAATGTTTGTTCTTCCCTTTTAGAGAAAACCTACCTCCCACTCAACCCTGTGATGAACCCCATGCAAGTTGTCATCCAGCAAATGATG